TTCGAAATTTTGAAATATAAAGATGCCTTATTTTGTGTAATGCCTAATATGCCATTCACATTTTATACTGATGTTCTTTGGCCATTAATGTCTTTTGATAAAATTATCCATGTCATAGGAGTTGCATCACAATTATCCATGTCTGTTTTAGTTGTTGACTTGTTGTATTGGAATATTTTGCACCTGTTGCAATGCACGGACACGAACCTCCGGCATATGGCTATAGGGGTGCATTGCAGAAACGTGGCAGCGCGCGTGCCCCACGAGTTATCTCCTTCCTCTTCTTTCTTTCCCAAATCAGCATAGGCACAAGTATGGTGGGGAGGGGCCGATTTGGCCAAGGGAGCATTCTCTGGCTATAGTGGATGGGATCGCGAGCTTTACCACCCTTGCACCACAAGGATGGTTTTAATCTATGTCGTGGAGGTCAATAGTGGGTCGGCCATGAGAGTGCTCATTCGGCGGTCGATGGCTAGTAGGTGGAAGACGATGGTGAAAATGGTGGGTCCAGTATAGACTTGTCCCAAATGCATGCGCATGGGTACAAGGGGACTGCGATTGACTCAACCGCGCTCTCATTGAAGTAGTGATGGCCTACATCGATGGAAACTACGGCGCACGTGAGCTCAAAACTTGACTATTTCAGATGCAGTAGGATGGGCTAGGAGCTCTGACACGGTTTATGTGCCCAACGAGTGCAGAAGCTAGAGGAGACAGAGATAGATTCAGTAGGAGCTCGTTTCTAGGACAGAGGTGAAGCACAAGGCATAGTAGGTGCTCTAATGGCGGTGGTGAGCACTCGAGGAGAGAGTGAGCAAATGCATAGATGTCAGGCTTGAGAGAATGGAATTGAGGGCAGCATGGTCAGGGGATAAACATGAGCTTGGCAAATTTCATGTCATGCTGGCTGCTAACTCCGCATTCCACGTTAGATCTAAGGGCCAAACGAAGATGTATGGATCTATAGTGAACCACTTAAAAAGTTTATGCTCTTGAAAGTTAAATCTAAAATTTATGGATCTGAAAATCAACTTAGAGTTGATGGACGTATCTGAAACCCCACATAAGTTAATATTAAATTTGTTGAAGCCTCATGTAACATTAAATTTCCAAACATCACGCTCCAAGTATCATTTTTTGAATAACAGTACAATTCATGTTTAACTTATATTATCCTGATATTATTTCGTTCCCGTTGCGATGCACGGGCATTATCGTGACGCCGTGCTCTCCGTGACTGAGTTAATTTCACGAACTTTGCTTTTTGGATTAAATGTCACTTTAACGTCGGTATTTAATTTCACACTGTTGTTATTTTATCGTGTGATCGTGTGTTTTTAGTACAAAAATTTAACTATCCCGTAGCAACGCATGGGCACGCTACCTATCTATAGAAAAGTTGAAGGTGGTTAGAAATTGTTCCTAACCATTTTTGATAGTTCCATCCCTAAGACCCTCCCTCGAGAAGGTAAAGATGGACATTTTTGTAAAAATCTCTCGCAATCTAAAAAGAGTAAAACGTGGACATCATCTTCGTGCAACAATCGATCGCTACGTCGGTCTGCCCCTCCGTGCGACAAAAATGCGCGCTCCATTCCAGGTACGAAAAAAGGTGTCAATCACAGAATCGACGCGCGCTCCTTCCTGAGAAAATTGGCTATTTACCTCCTCCTTCCTTCCCCATCCCTCAACCTCGCGGACAATCGCCGACAGCCTCTGTCGCCCCCAGCTCGCGCCCTCGCTGTCCTCATCCCCCGCCCCCTTCGTCGCCGTCACCCTCCACGATCTTGCACCGTCATCGCCCTCACCACAGCCCGGCCTCGATCGTGCACTAAACCCTAAACCAGCACTAAATCCTAATCAAGCACGTCGCCGCTGCTGGCCAGTGGCGGAGGAGCCATGGCGTTCCTGCCAGATGCGAGGTGGAACGTCGCCGAAGCACGTCGCCGCTGCTGGACGGTGGCGGAGGAGCCATGGCGTTAATGCAGATGGGTCAATTTGGCAAGAACATCTTCTCTTAATAGTGATCAGGCCAACCACATCCACAACCTCACGAAGAAGAGAGGCTGCAAGGTGCCCATTTTGGGGATCATCTACAAACTGTTCTCGTTAATTTTTTTCTTCTGAATGCAGGGCCGAGTACCACGAGTTCATTACAGATTGATTGAGGTACAAGCATGATTGAGTTCGCGTTTCGCGGGTCAGCGGGCGGCGGCGACGCGGCAGACGCGGCGTTTGGGACAGCATTGACATGGCGGTGCTAGAGCTGACGCCGCACAAGATGGCGCAGTATACAAGCCGCCGGCGGCCAACACCCACCAGGTATTCATACCCCTTCTCTTCCCTTTCTGCCGTCCGAAACCGAGCACACGAACCCTATTAGGATCTAATCTAATTAAAGTTTACATATGTATTTGCCTAATGAATACGATATTTTTTTTGGACTATGAACCGCTAGCTGCAGCTAGCATCGGTCAAGGTAATCGCTTGAACTGTATAAAGTGTTTTTTTCTGCAGCCGATTGTGTTGATGGTCTTGTTTTCTGTAGTCCAAGAGGCTGGAACTGAAGAAAATAATTGGAGCTGTGAATCCTACAAATTCGATGATGTCTTCAATGAAAATGCTAGACACAAACTTGTGTATGAGGCAGTCGCGGAGCCTGTGCTTGAGGCAAGTCTTGCATTCCAGATGCCACTAATTAAAACGAGGGGCAGTTTGAAGCCTTTTTCTGCCAAACTAGGTAAAATAAAACGACTTCACAAAGAGAGACCCTTAAAATGTACTGAGACAAAGGATAATTGAGGAGTGGAGCAAAAAATTGGCTTCACCTTGCCTACGTGGAACCCAACGAGGATAAAACCCCGGATTGCCCCCGTCGAGGCTCATGGGCGCCTGTGCGGGCGCTCGGCCACCAGGGTGCATGGCCACAAGAGCGCTCGGCCCTTGGGGCGTGCAGGCCAGCCTGGGCACGCGACTGTAGGTGCACACGGGCCACGGGGGGGCACATCACCCTGGGTGCGCGGGCACAGGGGTGCTGGGCCGTGTCTGCCTGGGCGCGCAGACTGCCGGTATGCAGGTCGCCGGAGCAGGCGGGTCGAGGGAACGACGAACGCTGTTCCTGAGTTTCCTCGCATTCGTCTGGCACAGAGGGAAACAAGATATGGGCAGGAGAAAGAAGGGCATTTTGGTCTTTTATTCATTTTGTCTAATGTAAGGAGTTGTTTTATCAAATGGGGTACCAAAACGGCTCTAGCTCCACCAAAAGAGCCGTTCATGGAGCCAAAGCAAAAAAAAAAAAAAAAGACTTCGCTTGTGAAGTGGAGCCATGTCCAACGGAGCTTTTATGCTAATGTTGTGTACTGGCAACCATGAAGTTCAGATTTGTTCTCTGTGTTTGGTGTGGCCTTGTTGGGTGTGATGCGACATAGGACTGTGTATGACTTTTATATATGTGGGTATAAAAAGTAGCACTAAACAATGCTGCACTTTGGCCTAGTGATTGATCTGTTTGCTTTGCCTAATGCCATTGCCATCACACGAGTGAAAAAAAATGATGTAAAAGAGGGCCTAATTCGCCTGAGACTATCAGTGGGTCACTTTGGCCGGTGCTTGGTGCACTGCGTGGTTCTTAATCCATCGGTTTATTTGGTTGCCTTTTCAAATCCTTACATCACCCGCATTTGCGTTCCTATTGACTGAAATTTTGTTTCACCGACTGAAATCCTTATCCTTGCACATGATAAGGTTTGTTTGCACGAGTAAACGAACTGAAATTGGAACAGAAAACACACAAATTGCGCTGGACTTGATCACACATCTTGTGCATTGCAGAAGCAAAAAGGGTGAGCCAGCTAGAGGATTCAGTTCGTCTGTAGTCACCACAAAGTTTTCAGTTCATCAGTAGTCAGTAGAACCTCAAATAGGGATAATAGAGAGAAGAAAGATATCAATATACGATTTGAAATCTCCAAGTTAAGTTGAGAGGGTATGCATGTCAAAGCGGAGGGGTCAAGATATTTTGCACATACATGACGGGGACCAATACAGGAGATATCTGCATAGTGATGACAAAAACGCTGATGAATTTGAGTTGGTGTATAGTTTTCATGTAGCTCTCTGCCTAATCCCAAAGAGCCCCAGGGAGAAAATAACAGAAGAAAACATGCGATTTCCGGTGCATTTCTCAAGATTGTCATGTTTTATAATTGGCGACATTTCAGTAGGAAAGCAGTCAAGCACACACAGAAGCGAACATCAAGGAAAAAAGAGTACATAGAGCTAAAAGCACCAGAAGCAAGTTAAAAAGACTAAAAATCAATAGCATATACAGTCAAAAGAGCAAAGACCTGCATCACTTCGAAATTGGTCAAAAGTATAGGCTTGCCATTTAGTGCATCTGAAGGCAACCCATAATATGCATGTAAATTCCACATCTGAACCATAAGGCAAGAATCCACATAGAAGGACATGCATGTTAAAGCAGAGGAGCTCAAGATATTTTGGACATACAAGTAGGGGACCCATACACAAGATAACTGAACAGCGATGGCAAAAACGCTGATGAATTCAAGATGGTGCATAGTTTTCGAAAGTATGTACCTCTGCCTGGTCCCCAGAAGATCCAGGAAGGAGAAAAATAGAAGAAAACAAGCTATTTCCAGACCCATTTTTCGAGCTTGCGATATTTTATAATAGGAGACAGTTTCCCAATATGTAAGAACTTAATCTAGCTTTGTCCATGTAAGTGGACGGTGGGCAGTCGACACTGACACACAGTAGTACAGCACATAGGGCTTAAAGCAGATATTTTACAGAGGCAATCATATCCTTAAGCAAGGAAAAAGAGTAAAAGGCAATAGCATATATAGTCAACACTTAAAATTAGTCAAACATATAGGCTTGCGATTTAGTGCATCTGAAGGAAGCCTATAATGTGCACACAAATTCCACATGAACCATTTGGTGAGATGCCACATAGAAGGCATGGGATAACAAAAACACTAATTAACTTTGGTGAGTTTAATGTTGTTCTTCGACAGATTCACTGAAATGTGAAGCAGAAGCCGCATAAGGTGGGGTCCATAGCCATCATTATATATGATTTCAACCTTGAGGTTCTCACACAGCAAATCCAGTCCACGGAGCTCAGAAGATGAGATCTCGTTGCGTATGGGCATGTCTCTTTTTAGAACATTTTGGGAACTGTAGCCAGCATAAAAGATGTAAGACAATGCACTATGTTCGTTAGTTAATTATTAAAAAACAAACAACAGTATACCTTGCAGCACCGCAAAGTGACTTTCTCAAGAATAGGAGAACTCCGAAGAAAGAATACCAATGTCCTGAAGTTATCACTGAGATCACAGTTGTCCAGCAATAATTTCCTCAGGTTCTTGAATTCTTGGAATCTGGGTTCCTTACCAAGCACCTGTAGTACATTAGACAGCACCATAACATTATTGGAGTGAATAAAGAACATTGCAAGAGACGGCGAAGGCATACCCTTGTCCCGACACCCGATAATTCTAAATTTGTAGAGTTAGATATGCTACAAAGAAGCTTGAATTGATCGCCATCAAGTTTACTTCTGGCATGATTATATTTGTGATGCAGTAGATGAATAAAAGCCTTTCCAACGGATAGCACTTCGTTTAATGAAACACCACCACAAAATCTATAAACATCCACAGCCAGATGCAGATATGCAAGAGCAGGGGCCAAGATAGCAAGCGCACAGGCAGCAGTATTTGAGCCACCATCAATAACCAATGTCTTCAGTGTGGGCGATATAATCTCAGAAAGACTGCGCCATCGACATTTTTTAAGAACCAGGGTCTTCAGCGATTGGGAGGTGATTGACATAATTTGACAACTGCAATCGTCCAGCTCCAAATCCTCCAAAGAGTGGTACACTGAACTAACACGCTTCACAAAATGGTCATCAAGAAGTACATGGCAGAGATGCAGCCTTTTGAGGCGCCAAGAACCTGAGCTCAGTCCCAGCTTACTGGCACGATCTGGGGTGTCATATTTCATGGCGCGACGGAGCCATCCTGCTGCCAGTCTATTGCCAAACACCGGAGCTCTGCTTCTAACAATATTCAGCCGGAATGAATCCAATTGTGCAATGTTACAGCGGCACATCAGGGTCACAGCAAAATCCTCAAAATCCTCCCAGTCCTTGTACTTGATGAAGTGCTTGTTGAAAGGATGCGGTAGCCATCTGTCACTGTCAGAATCAGAGGTATCACTCTCGGAGCTAGAACTGTCGTCGCTACTTGAGAGACAGATGCGATTGACATCAGAAGGGGGCGCCTTGTTGAACTCATCAAAGTCGATGTCCAGGGACGGCACCGAGCGCCAGAGGCGCCTCCACCGTGTGGACAGCACGCATGTCTGAACCAACCACCTGCCGGGCTTTCAAGAAGGACATGATGGTATGGAGGAGGCAGTCTGGCAGAGAGCTCAACCGGTCCGGGCCGCCGGCCGAGCATCCGTCGATGACACCACTCATGCGGGCCCGCTTCCTGAACTATATGCATATTGTATAATTTCTCATTATCAAAATAAGGTCTTTAAGGTTTGTCTTAAATTAAACTTCTTCAAGTTTGATCAAATTTGATGTTTGTCTAAGTTGGTGTTTGTAAGGTTCTTCTATATTTTTTATATATAAATTTGGTTAAACTTAAAGTTTTAACCTTGGACAAAAACTAAAACACCTTATATTTTATTTTTTTTTTTTTGGAAAGAGGCCATTATAATTCTTCAACTTTTGAGAAACGTCATTGCAGATCGTCTAATCGGAGATAGGCCATTATAATTCCCAGCTTCGCTGAACCGTGCCATTTTCTACATCCCAACCGTATGAGAGCCCACTGTCAGCACCGTATGTATACGGGACGCAAACGCTCGTGAAAATATCGGCCATCTCCGTTAGTCAGCGCCGCGTTGGTCTTCTTCTTTTCTCTCGTCCCCGTTCCCCATCCCATCCATGGACCCTAGCCCGCGATTTGGCGGCGGCGGCGGCGACGGCGACTGAAGGCATTGGCAGGCGTGATTCAGGTGCGCGGCGGCGGTGGTGCAGGCAGCTGCGTTGGGAGAACCAGCAGGCGGTGGCGATTGAAGTCGTTGGGGACTCCGGTGCAGGCTGCGGTGGCTGGAGAACCAGCGGGCGGCGGCTCTGGTGCAGCTGCGGCGGCCAGAGAAACAGAGGGCTGCGGCGATTGAAGTGAGAGGCGGCTCCGATGCAGGCGACTTGATGAGGGCAGGTTCGCCTGCTTCCAGTGGCACTGCAAGCAAAGGAGAGTGCCCCTTTTGGTTTGTTCCTCTGATCCGCATCCGAAGCAAGCAAGAGGATATGAAGGATCAGTGGTTTTTGAAGTGCCCCTACAAAGGTTTGATTTCTTGCCATGCTTGGCTTGTGCAAAGTCTTGTTTTTCACTGAATGACACAACTGTGATCTGAACATAGGGTGATCCAACCACATGTGGCTTCATTCGCTCCGAGGTCGAGTATGAAGCTGCAAAAGCTCATGGACGCCGGCTGCAGATGAAGGACGCAGGCTGTTTGAGTCCAGTGTCTGGTGAAGCATATGCCGGTTTGAAGGAAGAATTGGATGAGGTTCGTCAAATTATGGACAGTCTTATTTGTGATGTTCTGGCACTGAAGGTCCAGCTTTGTGAGCCAAAGGTGGCGCTGGTTGAGCCCAAGCAGGAATTGGAGACCAAGAAACTTCATATTGTGATCGATTCTACAGCTTTAGTACCTTCAGTGCAGGTGCGGCCGCCTCTAAGATCCCCAGCCGCCAACGCCTGCTTCCTTGCCCTGCCACCTCCTCTGGTTCTCCCGCCGCCTTCAGTCGTCGCCGCCGCCGCCGCCAAATCGCCGAGCTAGGGTTTGTGGATGGGATAGGGAACAGGGACGGGAGAAAGAGAGATGAGACCGACGCGGCGCGGACTAACGGAGGAGGCCGATACTTGATGCGCGTTTGTCTCCCTGTATACCTACGGTGCTGACAGTGGGCCTCATACGGTTCAGCTGTACAAAATGGCATGGTTCAGCGAAGCTGGAAATTATAATGGCGTTTCTCAGAATAGACGTGGTGTTTCTCAAAAGTTGAAGAATTGTAATGGCCTCTTTCCAAAAAACACATTTTAGTTGAACAGAGGGGGTATTGAATAAACCCATCTTCCAATGATCTTTTAACGACCATTGTTCAGTATGTAAGACAAATTGAGAGTCAAGTATACCTTTAAAGAAACTTTATTTTAAATCACTACAAGAGGTTAGGCCTTGTCGGTGCAGAAAGTGATCAACACGTAAATATTTGTAGTTTTGCCGTACGTTGTGATCGGAGGTGGCCTAGCACTCAATGACACATGATTTATACTGGTTCATGCAACATGCCCTACGTCTAGTTTGGGTCGGTCGGTGACTTTATTCCTGAGCCCAGGTGCTCGAAGTTTACAGTGGGGTTACAAACGAGAAGGAGAAAGATGGGGTACGAAAGGTCCGGTCAAACTCTGGTTAGAGGGGCCGAGAGTGACGGGAGCTCCGCTATGCGCTATGTGAACTTGGTCGATCTGAATGAATCTGAATGAGCTTTTCTGTTGGGAGAGAGCACATCCCCTTTTATAGATGAAGGGGGTGGCCTTACAAGCGAGAGGGAGAGAGTATGTATGCTACTAAGTCTTGTCGCCCACGCCGACGGGTATAGGATGATGGTAGACGCCCACAATACTGTTCAATGTCAGATGCACGTGGGAGGTTGTGTTGTCTTCTTCGGGTATGGCAGACGTCGGCGCCTGCCACACTATTGTACCTGGAGGCATGCAAGGGGTTTTACCATTTTTCCCTGGTATGGTAAATACCGGCGCCCACAATACTGTCGATGCCCAGAGGCATGTGGGGGGAGCCTTACCGTATGAGAGTTAATGGCGCCCACAACACTGTAGGGGAAAACATCGGCGTCTATAACACTGCTTGAGTTCTGTCATGCTAGGAGGGTCGCAGGGTACTGCCTGGCAGGTGCACAGGGTACGGGCTCGGGTATTGCAGTTTGACTTGTACGCCCTGTCTTACTTTCTCCGTTCGTTTCCTGGTCCTCACCGAGCGGGCGCCCTCGGTCGGTTGGCCCCAGTCTGCTCTGACTGCGCCAGTTGAAAAGGAGCTCGTAAGCAGGGGTTCGGCGTATCCCTGGTCGGAGACGCGGGTCGTAGTCGGAAGTAGTGCTTTGGCCAGGCCTTCCGGTCGGAGAGGCGGGCCGGAGTCGGAAGCGGGCGCCGTTCCTCCTCGGCCAGGCCTTCCGGTCGGAGATCGGATCGTCCTTTTGACCTGTCATCTTAGGTATTTGGGCCGGCCCATGAGTTGCGCATTGCTCGCAACGTTGTTCGTTGGGCCAAGCCTTTATTGGGAAGCCGGTCCATGAGAGACCCCGGGTTTATGAACCCGACGGGCCTTCTAACCGACTATGACAATTACAGCCTTTTTCTCGTCATTGTACCCCTTCTATGACGATACAGCTGTGATCAGATTTTTTCTTTGAAGGGGTTCAGAATCAGATGTATCTGCCTACCTGGTGATTGGCATTGATCCTTGTACCTGGTGAAAATGCTTGCTTATATATTTTATATCTCGTTACTGTTCAGGGTCTGGGACCTACCTGCGCAAGCCGTTTCTTTTCTTTACATGCTAATGAATCAACAGGTGCTACTACTAGACATTTCAGGAATGCATCAGCATCAGTTATCTGCTTCTCAAAATAGGATCCAGTCCAGTCTTTCCTGGGGTCAATTTGTCCTTTATACTGCAATGTTTAGTGTGATTTTCAGTCCAAGGATTATGATACTTGTTCTACAGGGCAAAATACTCATAAATTTTCATAATATTTTTACAGCTTTAACTAATTTTGTAATGGCCAACAAAGTGCCCCACCCATACAGCACACACCAAGTATTAAAAAAATGAATTTTAATTTATGACCATCACATTCCATCAATTTCGTCATGAGCTATTGTCACAAAGATTGGGAAAGGTACATGGTGACGGTTGTTTATGACTAAATCACAACTTAGTCACAAACGTTTATCATCCAAAGGAAAATTGTCATAAACGCATCGTTTCTATGATTAAAAAATGTTGTCATATGAAAATTGTCGTAGAAGGCCCAATCTCTTATAGTGAATCCTAATATGCCTACTTAAAACGGACAATGGTTCTTTGTATGGAATATTTTCTTCCCTAATATAAAAGACATGCAATTCTCACTACTACAAGTATCTCATCACCGCTGGGCCTCAACCCCCTATCATCGTCGATTTTGCTCGGTGACGATAAAAATGGGCGGTAAAAATAGAGTTCATCGTCATCAATTACAGACCGATAGTGATGGGCGAATAGAGTTCATCCCTGTGTTGTCGTCATTGTCCTCAACCATGCTGCTGAGGGGAGGCAAGCCCCGCCGCCGCGCTTGGGAGAGGAAGGGCGGGCTGAGGTGGTGGGTGAGGTAGAGAGAAAAAGTGGGTGGCGACACCTAGGGTGAGAGTGATAATGCACCTAGGTCCGTTTTCCACCGCCGGTGGGAACCTATAGTAAAAACTGAACTAGGTTTCGCCGCTAGTTTAAGATATGAACATGTGGTGAAAATGATTTTCATCGTCAGTCCTATTACAAATTAGCGGTGATAGATCATCACCACCAACTTTAATAGAATTGGCGGTTACCATAAGGGGAAACCATTTCTATAGTAGTGTCTCTTGCTTAGTTGAGAGAAAAAAAAACAGTTTTCTCGATGACTCCATATAAGTATTTGATTATATACAAGAATATTGCATATGTTAGTTTTGTGCTGTTATGAAATAAGTAGCCATTTATATATTTTATATTTTTGGGCATCATATCTTCTTTAAAAAAAAATACTTGCATTGCATCACAAATAGGTTATAAGGATCATGTTATCACGGTCGAATTTTCCTAAAACATGCTTCATATTACAAGTTGGAGAATGAGCAACTGTTTAGCAACACAAAAGGAATGAATTCTAGATGCTTGCCCATCTTGCCTTTCTAGCAAGAGCATCAGCTATCTTACTTAGCTCTCTGCAGGTCTTGATTACCGAGTAGCTTCTTGCTCAATTTATATCCTGCACTTGAGCAATGATGGGACGCACTGACCAATATCCATGATGCTTTGACAAATGCCATCACACGTAAAAGCAGGCCTAATTCCCTTGAATCTCTATTGTCCGGAAGCTGGGAGATAATGTGTACTCACTGACTAGGTCGGGAGATAAGGTGGACTCGGTGATTATGTGTTCAGTTCATGTGTAGTCAGCACTCAGCACAAAGTTCAGTTCGTGTTCGTCCGTAGTCAGCACAGCCTCAAGCAATCTCTAGACCCCAAAAGTGGGATGAATTCGAGTTGCTGTATAGTTTTCGAAAGTATGTACGTGTCTGGCTAGTCCCAAGATTCCCAGGGAGAGAAAAAAACAGAAGAAAACATGTGATTTCCGGGCATTTTTTCCAAGCTTGCGGTGTTTTATAATTGGAGACAGTTTCAGTAAGTAAACACAGAAGCAAACATGTAGGTGCACAGTTGACACAGACACACAGTACACAGGGCTTAAAACAGATATTTTCCAGAGGCAGTCATATCCTTAAGCAAAGAAAAAGAGTAATAATCAATAGCATAATAGTCAATACAGCAAGGTCTTCATCATAGCTTGCGATTTAGGGCATCTGAAGGGAACCTATAATGTGCAACTAAATTCTACATGTGAACCATACGGTGAGAAACATAGAAGGCCTGGGATACCAATAACACTAATTAACTTTGATGAGTTTAATGTTATTCTCCAACAGATTCACTGAAATGCGCATCAGAAGCTGGACAAGGTGTAGGCCATAGCCATATTTATATATGATTTCAACCTTGAGGTTCTCACACAGCAAATCCAGTCCACGGAGCTCAGAAGATGTCTTGTTGAGTATGGGCGTTCCTTTCTTTTTGCTAGAATGTTTTGGGAACTGTGGGCAGCACAAAAGATGTAAGACTGATGAACCATGTTGGTTAAGTAAGAAGTTAAGCAGCAAACTACAGTATACCTTGCAGCACCGCAAAGTGAGCTTCTCCAGAATAGGTGAACTCTGAAGAAAGAATACCAATATGTGGAAGTCGTCACTGAGATTACATTTGTTCAGCATTAAGTTCCTCAGGTTCTTGAATTTTTGGAATCTGGGTTCCTTTCCGAGCACCTGAAGTACATTATAGATACTTAGATAGTACAATAACATTACTGGAGTGAATAAATTGGAAAATTGCCAGAGACAGCGAAGGCATACCTTCGACTCGACACCTGACAACTCTAAACTTGTCACGTTCGATATGCTACAAAGAAGCTTAAACTGATCGCCGTCAAGTTTACTTCTGACAAAACTATATAAGTGACCATGACCCTTTATACGAATTGAAGCTTTGGCAAGGGATGGCACCTCATTTATTGAAACACCACCACAAAATTGGTCAGCCTTCACAGCCAGGTTCAGATATGAAACAGCAGGAGCCAAGATAACCAGCCCAGAGTCATCAGTATTCGAGCCGCCATCAATAACCAGTGTCTTCAGTGTGGGCGATGCAATCACAGAAAGATTGCACCATCTACAATTCTTCAGAACCATGGTCTTCAGAGACTGGGAAGTGACTGACTCAATTTGACAACTGCAGTCGTCCAGCTCCAAATCCTCCAAAGAGCGGCACACTGAATTAACACGCTTCATGAAACCGTTATCCAGTAGTACATGGCAGAGATGGAGGCTTTTGAGATGCCAAGAACCAGAGCTCACTCCTCCATGCTGTCTGGGCCGGTCTGGGGTGCAGTATTTCATCGCGCGACGGAGCCATCCTGCTGCCTGTCTATTGCCAAACTTAGGTGTTCTGCTCCCAACAATGTGCAGGCGGAATGAATCCAGCTGTGCAATGTTACATTGGCGCATCAGGTTCACGGTGAAATCCTCGAAATCCTCCCATTCCTTGTGCTTGACCTTGTTGTTCTCGTAGCTGTTGATGTTAGTATCAGAGTCCGAGCTGTCGTCCTCAGAAGAAGTTGTGATGTCGGAGGAGTCAGAGCTGACAGTATCAGATTCGGAGCTGCTGCCGTCCGAATCAGGGACGTCGCCGTCGTCGGAATCAGAGCTATCAAGATCAGATTCGGAGCTTTCAGAGCTTTCGCCGTCAGAATCAGAGTTGTCGTCGCCACCGGAGCCAGAGTTGTCGTCACCACCGGAGCCAGAGTTGTCGTCGCCACTGGAGCCCGAGTTGTTATCAGAAACAGGCACCGTCTTGAACTCAGCAAGGTCGATGTCGAGGCACGGCACCGAGCGCCAGAGGTTCCTCCACCGCGTGGACAGCACGCATGTCTGGACCGCCTGCCGGGCCTTCATGAAGGACATGATGGTATGGAGGAGGCAGTCCGGCAGGGAGCTCAGCCGGTCCGGGCCGGCGGCCGAGCACCCGCCCCCGCCGCCGCCATCACCACTTGCGCGGGCGCGCTCCGCCTCCTCAACCTCCATGGCGTGTCTACTCCTACACGGAGCAGCTCTTCCGTTAGATGAGGAAATAACCCACACCAAAAATAAATAATAATTAATAAACAAAAAAACCCTATTTCCATCTTTCACAAAACACCGCAGGATCCGGTTTGATCACGGGAACTAGATGAGTCGAGCTGCTAGATCGAGGGGGCGGAAGATTTCAATAGATGGCGAAGCATTGCTGAATAGAATAGGACAGAACCTCATCGGAAGGCTGAAATCGAGAAGGGTTCACGAGGCGTACGGGATACGGGGCGAAAGGAGGAGGTTGGGGAGCGGGGCTTACCGAGCGCCGCAGCCTGAGCGAGGGAGGAGCGGAACCAGCCGGAGGAGACGCGGGCGTGAGAAGGGCGGCGCCGGCGCGGGGAAGGAAGGAGTTGCCTAAACTCTCGTCTCCCTCTATGGCGGCGAGACGCAGGGGAAGGGGAGAGTACAGCGCCGAGCCGCCGAGCAGTTTTGGGCCGGATAGCAAAGGCCCAGTTGCCGCCACCGAGAGGATTCGTCGTTTTTTTTTTCATCCAAATATTTATCCATTTCTCGATTAGGAACATGTTTTTTTAATATATCAGAGCTATTGCTAGCTGCCTAGCTAGTTAGCTAAACTCCCCTAAAAAAAGTTAGCTAAACATTTGTATTAACTTATCTAAACAAAGAGTTCAATAGCTGGGCTAGTTGTTACCCAAACATCTAGCTAAAAATTAGACACTCTTAAATAAATACAGAACTTTTGCTTCTCCGAAACCAATTTTAGAACTTGGTTGTCTGTATCATTATTTGGCTTTTGACCAAAAGCCAAAAGAGAAATTTATAAGAAACATGACCTTAAGCTCTGTACTCAAGTCTCTCAGCCTCCATTGACATGTTGTGTACTTGTATTCTGCTCTTTTCAGCCAATGGCGCCGCAAGTTAGGGATGCAAGGTGGGTTACCAGTAGCCTACCATTGCTTGCCACACTGTGTGAGAGTCCAAAGGTGAAAGTGCATCTAGCTCTTTAGTGGGTTTTGGATGATTGAATGACAACGTGATTAAAGGTCTAACCCGTTTGCTAAGTGTGGACAGGTAATAGGTTATCTCACAGGTACTTAATAAAAGCTAAAATGATGTGTTGTTGTATAAACAGTCTAGTTCAAGCACAAGATAACAATACAAATGAAATTCATACAAAGACTTATTTATTGTGGGATTTCCATATACTATGTGAAAGTAAGCTCGTAAGAATTAATTAATGAGACATGAGGGATTGCATATGGAATAGTCTCATATTTGAAGCTTGCTAAATTGAAATAAAAAAGATAACAATACAAATGAATGGATGATTCAACACAAGATGTGACTTGATGGCTTGAGATGGTGAAGATAGCAAGGAAAGGCTTCGTGGTACTAAGCAAGGGTGAATGGCAAGCGACGGCTTGGCGGCCGAAGAACCTAGCTAGGGTGAAGAAGGAAGTACTTGCATTTAGTTGAGGTATTAATCAAACTATGATGGTCATGTTTATGTGGAGGATCAAATCACTATTGGAGTGTTTGATGGAAGTGACTTGATATATTTGGGATTATTCAAATTTGATGAATGGAATCAAGTCACGTGCTCAAGATGGCTATGCTCAAGTGAAAAGATCAATATCAACATGTTGGCACCCTTACTTGATGAAGATTGAAAGAGACGGCATTAATTCAAAAGAGGTCAACTCAAGCGGTATAAATTCGTTTTTCCTTTAATCTTGAGTTTAATAGGTATGACGTACTATTAAGAGGGATGCATCATGTTGATAGATAATGTTTCATAAGTGCTCAAGCCAACCCATATGAGTTTTGAGTGTTTTAGAGACAAAAGAGCTAACATGTTTTT